TGACGCGCTCGGGGATCGAACTCATGACCTTCCGCTCACCGGGCAGTCGCTCTACCACAAGACAACTGAGGAGGCCTGAACCCCCACCTTTGTTCTACATGGAAATGTTTAGTGGTACGATTGGTTGGTTGTTTAACGCCGCACTCAGCCATATTCCAGCTATATGACGGCGGTCTGTAAATAATCGAGTCTGGACCAGACATTCCAGTGATTGATATCATGAGCATCGATCCACGCAATTGGAATCGATGACATGCATCAACCAAGTCAGCGAGCCTGACCACCCGATCCCGTTAGTCACCTTTTACGGCAAGCATGGGTTGCTGAAGACCTATTCTACCCCGGAATCTTCACGAGTCTATTGACATCATGAGCATTAGTTGTACGAGACACTTCTTTGTTTATATATACTCTTCATAATAAAGTAGGGGATCCAAGGGTCACAATAGTTTTTTGGTTTGGTTTGTTGTTTTACGCCGCAGTCCGCAATATTCAAGCTATTCTGTAAATAATCGAGTCTGGACCAGACAATCCAGTGATTGATATCATGAGCATCGATCCACGTAATTGGGATCGATGACATGCTTCAACCAAGTCAGCGAGCCTGACCACCCAATCCAAAGATATATTTGTTTCTAATAATAGCTGTATGATAATAATGAACGAATTGGAAACACGTTACAACTGGTAGTGAAGTATGACAGCAGGTTCTATGACCGTCAACAATCTTCAAGGACGACAAGGGCTAGATGGTAAATTTCAAAGTTGACGTTTTTGGATCAGTAGTATGTAATACCGCCACAATTTGTAAAACATTCATTCACTCGACGACGCATACTGCGTATGTCTCCCAACGGTGATTTGAGGTGGTCTGTCCCACTCCTCTTACAGCGCCTGGCCAAGGTAATCACAGACTGTGAACATTGAAGGTATTGGTCACTGCACGCTGACATTTGCCAATTACCAACATGTTTGTAGTTCACGAACAGTGAGGAGAAGCGGGGGACACCAGAAATCGGCATCACACTTTGTACCAATATTGGGCGTCGAACCCGTTCTTGAAGAGAGAACGTTTTAACCACCAGGTTACCCTACCGCCCCCTTAACGTTGGAGAAGTAGCCAGATGAAGTGTTGCCCCAAATGTGCAATTAAATAACTGACATAATCTTTTGAAAGTATATTTTCATTTTCTGTACGCTCGACTAACCTTCGCCTTTGTGGATTTCTTCATCCTCCCATCCCATGGTTATATGTTGTTGCTAGAAACACACACAAACAACGTCTGCAATCACAATGAAGCATATGACAAAGACTATACTATTTGTCAAGTCACCCGTACCATTTCATGTTGAACACTCGCGTTAATTTTTGGAAAGTGACATCTTCAGGGTGACGCTCAATATTTTTGGCGCCGAAGACTGGTGCCCCCCGCCGTGATATTGCTGGAATATTGCTAAGCCGGCGTTAAACAGCACTCACTCACCCACTCTACTTTGTTGCAAGGGCGGCCTGATGAAGGAATATTGCCCCTCCACCTACTTACACCAGAAAGTGAAATGAACCGATGATTGATCGTAATGAAGACATAATGCAGCAAACACTTGTCGACGTCATTTGAGGCCGCAAGGGAGAATAAGTGCATTTCCGAGTTTAGACAATGAGGTGAATGATTTAAATCAGATGTTTCATTAACTAATGAAAGGAATTTGGAGTTGGCAGCGTTTTTTATAGAATTTGTATCTTGTGATTTAGCCATAGCACGTCTGAGAATGTCATCATGGGTGGAAGAAATATATATTAATTATCCCGAAGACCTTTTGCCCTCTTAAATTACACCCGTGGAGACGGATGTTGTGCTTCAGTACAGACGTATATGAATCGATGACCTCCAACATAATTAGGCCTATAATATTATAATATATACACATGCACAAAAGTTAAGCGCCACCATACTCATAGTCTCTTGATTTCACGTGTGGGAATCAGAAATACGAAATATGATGATGTATGACTGAATTAGGCTTCCATAGTTTCATGAACCCAAATTTGTCCAGATACCACAAGGAAAGCGTGCTTTACGTGTTGCTGCAGTTTCTCTACCCCATAAATAGTGAAATTCAAGTTTCAGACACATGGTTACATTTTGTTCTTGTGTGAGATTCCCCTTCCAATAGAGGTTGAAAATCAGCCATGGTGAGGGGAAAGTTAACGAACGCTGAAAGATGGCAAGTTATAGGCATGAAAAATGCTGGCATGTCATGCAGGGCCATTGCAAGACAGATTGGTCGTCATCACAGTGTTATCACTCGTTTGATTGTCAAACATGGTAAAACCAATGATGTCAATGACAGGCATAGGTCTGGTAGGCCAAGAAAGACCTCTAACAGAGAGGGTAGACGTCTTTTCAGGATAGTCAGACGAAATGCATTTGCCACTTCAACAGATTTAAGACTGCAGTGGATTACCCATCAGAGACTCTCGACGATGACCGTAAGGCGTCGCCTCAGAGCGGCTGGTTATAACGCCAGAAGACCAGTAAAACGTCCTCAACTGACTGAGAGGCACATGCGGAATCGTCTGATATGATGTCGTGCCCGTAGTCGATGGAACTTGGCCAACTGGAGAAGGATCCATTGGTCTGACGAGTGTCGAATGCTGCTACGAACTGTTGATGGTCGAATACGTGTGTCAACGTGCATGTTGACGGGGAATTAGCTCTTGGGGGAATAAAGGACAAAATCGACATCACTGTCCCAGAACGCTTTATGCACAACATGTAAACAATAAACAACAATTGCACAATGAGCGGAATACCTGCTCTGACAACACAAACACAGCAATGAGCGGACTTTCCAGCTCAGGCGTACAAGAGGTGAGCGGAGCTCCAGCTCACCTCAGAGCGTTTCCTACGAGCAGCATATCCTGCTCGAGGTCGTCCCTATGCCAGCACTCGGAATACCAAGCCTGACTAACACCGTAGTAACTGTGTAATGGTAGCACATATATAGTAATGAACAACAATGGACAGACAAAGAGACAACGACGTTGCTTTGGACATATGGGCGTGATTAACAAACACAGTTCATGGGATGATCAATTAGGGCAATAAATGCCATACTATAAAAAGCAGCAGTTAAAGGGAAGTGATATGGTAGTCCAGGCTGACTGACAGTCATAATACAATGAAATGTTGGTGAGGATTAACAACGGGGATTAGCGCCTAAAACGTAATGACAATTAAGTTATGGAGATATGGCTACAGGGTAAATTGCCCTTGAAGTCAAATGTACTGCAGACAATGGTAGTCATAAATCAGTCGCTATGACACGTGTTTGGAGGCAACGTAACACTCGTTTTGCACCAAGGAACATCCAGAAGACCTTAGCGTGTGGCGGGGGGTCTGTCATGATATGGGGTTGTGTTTCCTTCGGCTGCAAACTTCCGCTGGTGATAATTCGTGGAAACCTGAATGGCCAACAATACCAAGATGCCGTTCTTCGTCCAGTGGTAGTCCCTCATTTTGACAACCATCCTCTTCAGACAAGACCTGTTTACATGGACGACAATGCTAGACCACACATATCTCGGGCAGTTTTGGCTTAGTTGCGTCAAGAAGCTATTGCCACTCTTCCTTAATCCGATTGAGCATCTCTGGGACATTCTTGGCCGGAAAATCAAACATCGTGATCCCCCAGTTCAAAATCTCGCCGCACTTCATGAAGAATGGATCCGTTTACCTCAGAGAAGCATTCAACGACTTGTAATGAATATGAGGCGTAGGGTTGAAGCTGTGGTCAATGTCCTTGGATCATACACACGTTACTGACGTTTCTGTCTTGCAATAGACTCTGCACTCCCTAGGGGGTCTATGTGACACCTGATATGGTCTGCTGATATCATGACAGTTACATGACAAAAAGGTTTTTCAATGTTTTCTAATCCTTCAATTTCTGGTCTTCGGTAAAATTCCTTTCTGCTCATATTCTTTTGGAACACAAGATAAACTTGCTTTGGGACAACTTTTGCATCACATGAGGTTTACATATACGGCTTACAACAATCATACATAATAGTTATAATAGTCATCATTAAGTGCCAAAAGTAACAGCTCACAAATATGGTGGTTGGCGATTAACTTTTGTGCATGTGTATATATAATATTAAGCCGTTTAAGAATCAAAGTTAAAAATAATTATCACTTATACCTTTTCTTGTTCAGGAACATAAGGCGTCAACACCAGAGAAAGACGGTCCCGATTGTACCACAAAACATATTCCATTGGGTGAAAAATATATGAACCGATCACTCCTGTATTGTAAGAGTAAGATTGAAGAACTAAATGACGTCTTAAATAATATAAGACCTAGGTTTTTGACAAAACACTCCCCACAAGAATTGAACTTTCTAATAGTCACCTTCCCCTTAACGTCGAGCTATCCAGTCCTGAAGCTACAGTCTTTGATGTCTATGTTTCACAACTTTTGAGGCATAATCGAACATGCTCTGTCTTCCAAGATTTGAAAGAGCGTCATACAACTCTTGCTCAGATTAGTTTGTTGTTTAACGCCGCACTCAGCAATATTCCAGCTGTATGACGGTGGTCTGTAAATAATCGAGTCTGGACCAGACAATCCAGTGATTTACATCATGAGCATGGTCGACCTCAAACACATGGTATCATGACTGTTTAATTCATAATCACGTGCTTATAATTTGGTAGGAATTGTACAACGGACTCTAAAAGATATTTTTAAATTATGGAAAGGGTTTTGTAGGTAGGAAGAGATGGTAATGTGACCTAGTTGTATTCTCCCCAGGGAGCTGAGAATGAGATCCGAGCGCATACTGATCCATTAACTTGGGTAATATTGTGTAGCTACGCCGAATAACTATTCACAATGAAACCTAGGCGCTTTAAAATTGATTAGGAAAAGGGTTTTGTAGCTTTCATTTAAATAAAATATCTTACATATCTATATTATATTATTTAACTTGCAGCAGTTTCCCCGAGACAACCCCTGTGCTTCACACCCCTGCCCGGAAACGTCTGTTTGCGCTACCGTTACGCCCCCTTTTGGACGCAGTTGCCTTGGTATTGGTAAGTATAGTCTATGACATTTCGCTTGTGTTGGTTGGTTGGCCTGGTTTGTTGTTTAACGCCGCACTCAGCAATATTCCAGCTATATGACGGCGGTCTGTAAATAATGGAGTCTGGACCAGACAACCCAGTGATTAATATAATGAGCATCGATCCACGCAATGCATCGATCCATGATGACATGCATCAACCAAGTCAGCGAGCCTGACCACCCGAGCCCGTTAGTCGCCTCTTACGACAAGCACAGTAGCCTTTTACGGTCCAGCATGGGTTGCTGCCCCGGATCTTCACGGTAAAATCATAAAACGTCAGAAAAGGTAAAAAAACAACTAAGTTTTATCCAAGACTTAAGATTTATTCAGACTGAAATTCTTTTATGAATACCGCCCCAGATGCACATCAAAGATCTAGTTGGATTTCGATCATTAGAAAGTCACTTTTTTACATTTACACTTGGATATGCATGAGTCTATCAAGAAGTCGGGAGCACTGAGTACTTGAAGAATGACATGTCAAATTGAATGAGGTGAGGTGAAATGGGGTTTAACGTCGCGTCCAAGATTATTGCACTTATATAGTGACGTGCATGCACGTGTATGTGTGGCTGCTTGTACTAGTCCGGACTGATGCCGATTTATAGTGCTAGCGCACTGAGATACCACGCCACAGTTTAACATGAATACCCCACTCAGACACAGTATACTGACTCCTAGCCGACCAGTCCTTGTTTTAGCCCCTTAATGCCGAGCGCCAGACAGGGTAACAACACATACCATCTTTTTTACGTCTTTTGGTATGACGCGGCTGGGGATCGAACCCCGGACCTTCCGTTCTCCGCTATTGAGAATGATAATAACGTTGTTAATTATAGGCTTATAACGTCGTAGATAAAGAACTAAGTTTGTCCAACAAACACTGCTTACCTAAAGCTACAGAACAGCAAACTGTTCAATATTTTGTAAGACCACCGCTTTTCCTAACGCATGCTTCTATGCGGGGAGGCATACTGCCGATCAAGGAAGTTCATTAGTCCTACTGTCCCAATATATTACCACCTCTACTTTCATATCTCATATCTCCTGTACATGGAGTGGACTAGCCTGTTGATGAAGGCCATTGGGATATGGGCCCATATCCTGAGGAACGCTACACGTAGCTCTGCTGCAGTTGTCGGCCTTGGGCGTACGTCGTTGAGTCGGCGTTTGATCTCATCCCACAAGTGTTCAATGGGATTCAAATCCGGACTGAGGGCAGGCCAAGGCATGATTTGGATGTTGTGCTGCTGGAGGAAGTCCCTGGTGACTCTGGCAGTGTGGGGACGGGCGTTGTCTTGCTGAAAGGTGTGGTTTTGATGACGGGAAAAAAAAGGGCACGATATGGGGTCTGAGGACTTGGTCAATGTAGCGGAGAGCTGTGATGCCATTACCCCTGTCTGGACCAATATTCTGAAAGACCACAGGTCCCACTCTCTGGTTCAGTCCGATTCCACCCCAAACCATGATGCTTGGGCCGCCCCACGGGTCTCCTTCCATAACACAAGCATCAGCATAAAGTTCGCCCCTCCTTCGCCAGACCCTGACTCTGCCATCCACCGTTGAAACACAGTAGCGACTTTCATCAGTGAAGATGATTCTTCTCTATTGCCGTTGACGCCAATTTTGATGCTGCCTGGCCCATTGCAGTCGGGCCTGTCGGTGACGATCTCTCAGGATGGGTACACGAGCAGGACGGTGGCACGAGATGTTGGCAGTTAGGCGACGTCGGACTGTACGATCACTGATGGCACGCTGGTGGTTGCCAATGGTTTGCGAGCTGTTTCAGAGGCCATTCGGAATCGGTTCTGCGGATGTTGGCGTATCAAGAACCGATCTTGTCTGGGAGTAGTGACTCTAGGACGACCACTACGCGGATGGTCGTCGGTGGTGTTGTGGCGATGTTGCAAACGATATATCGTTCTGACGTTGACATTGAATGCATTTGCAACGACCTGTGCACTCTGGCAGTCTTCCGATCACTTGTCTCTCATTTCCTGATAATCTTGGCATTTCTGATGAATCGAAATAACGAAAGCCAGCTTAACAGTTTTGGGTGTCTTTTATACCCATACCATCCAAGATAGGCACGTGCATCATGTTTTTGACAAGACTTTTCCGCAACTGAGTCCCATTGCACTTTTGTAGGCTGCGTTTAGGCAAAGCATTCCATTTTAAGACTCAATTGTTAAATAGACTTTAAGGCAACAAAAAGAAGCAGTAGAACGATAAATGAGTTTATTGACCACAGAACATGTAACTGCCAGTGTCTGTTAAGTTTTATCAGTGTTTTCAGAAGTGACGTTTCTTTTGTCTTTCAGTGTAAAAAAGCACAATATTAAATGAGAATGAGAATCCGTAAATAATCGAGTCAGGACCAGACACTCCAGTGCTTGACATCATGAGCATCGATCCACGCAATTGGGATACGATGACATGCATCGACCAAGTCAGCGAGCCTGACCCCACGATCCCGTTAGTCGCCTATTACGGCAAGAATAGGTTGCTGAAGACCTATTCTACCCGGATCTTCACGGGTCTATTTATATATGTGTGGGCCCTTGGCCTTGACTACAACAAAGTGATCTGCACATCAAGGGTAAAGGGGCGGGGAATTCGAGATCGGGAGAAGCACGGGAGCGGATGCATAGGTTAGTGCAGACTTACCGACATGCGAGGCCTGGAGATATAGAGCACGTCAATCAACCAACCAAGCCTGACCACCCGAGCCATTTGGTCGCCTCTAACAACAAGCATAGGTTGCTGGGGACCTATTCTAACTTATTCTATCACTATTCCTGGGATTCATCGGTAGCTCATCGGGAATTGTGATCATAAACGGATGGCTTTATTTGATAAATAGGGAATGTCTTCGACATTTTCACATTCACAGACCGCCTCCGTGGTCTGGGGGTAGAGCGTCTGCCAAGGGGGCGAAAGGTCACAATTCGATCCCCGGCCGCGTCATACCAATAGACGTGGAAATATGGTACTTGTTGTTACCCTGCCTAACGCTCGGCATTAAGGGTCTAAAATGAGAACTGGTCGGCTCGGAGTCCGTATACTGTGTCTGAGTGGGGTATTCATGTTAAACTGCCCAATGGCATCTTAGTGGGCTAACACTATAAAGGCGACTATGCTTGTCGTACAAGGCGACTAACGGGATCGGGTGGTCAGGCTCGCTGACTTGGTTGATACATGTCATCGATCCAAATTGCGTGGATCGATGTTCATGATGTAAATCACTGGATTGTCTGGTCCAGACTCGATGATTTTACAGACCGCCCTCATATAGCTGGAATATTGCTGAGTGCGGCGTTAAACAACAAACAAACAAAAAAAAACACTATAAAATCGGCATTATTCGGACTAGTACAATCAGTTACACACACGTGCATGTACGTCGCTATATAAGTGCAATAATCTTGAAGGCGGCTTTTAACTCAATTTCACGCTGTTGTATCATGTTGATTAACGCCGCACTCAGCAATGTTACAGATACATTACGGCGGTCTGTAAATAATCGAGACTGGACCACAGTCCAGTGATTGACATAATGGGCATCGATCCACGCAATTGGGATACGATGACATGTGTCAACCACGTCAGCGAGCCTAGCCACCGATCCCGTTAGTCGCCTCTTACAACAAACACAGTCACCTCTTACGGCAAGCATGGGTTGCTGAATACCTTTTCTATCCCGGATCTTCACGGGCCTCGACGCCTTTAACGCACAAAGCGGTGTGCAGGTTATGTCCTGTCAATGCCACCTGTCACCATGGAGATGACTACAGTTATCGCGGAATAAACAAGGTAGTAACCTGGAATGAAAATAGCAAATTATTGTTCCTGTTTAATTAGGTTGTTCAGTCTGTGCCATACATATGTAATTGATTTGTGACAGATCAAACAAAAGATTAGACATGTATTGTTCCAATTCATTTATCCCTTCAGTGATCTTCAGTTACATGTCGATAGATGTGTTTCGGCTGGATACGGTGACCATTAGTGACAGTAGTTACCTGCGAAAGTGAGGTGAGGTGAAATAGGGTTTAACGTCGCGTCCATGATTATTGCACTTATATAGCGACGTGCATGTACGTGTGTGTGTTTGTGTGACTGCTTGTACTAGTCCGGACTGATGCCGATTTACAGTGCTAGCTCACTGAGATACCATGCCGCAGTTTAACATGAATACCCCACTCAGACACAGTATACTGACTCCGAGCCGACCAGTCCTTGTTTTAGCCCCTTAATGCCGAGCGCCAGACAGGGTAACAACAAGTACCATCTTTTAACGTCTTTTGGTATGACGCGGCCGGGGATCGAACCCTGGACCTTCCGCTCTCCGGGCGGACGCTCTACCACTAGACCACGGAGGCGGTTACCTGCGAAAGCTTGATGATGGGCCCATGCATATATTTTGCTGTTTATAATTAAGTGATATGTGAAAGGTGAGCGTGCATGCAACAGGAGTCGAGGGTCATAATTATGATGGCGGAGTGCCATGTCACTGTCGAGAGCAAAGAAAAAAATGATCGTGGACAAAGAGCAAAGCCAAGGAAAGCAGGGGTTAGTTTGTTGTTTGCTTGTTTTTGTTCAATGCCGCACTCACCAATAGTCCAGCTGTATGACATGGTCTGTATATAATCGAGTGATTGACATCATGAGCATCGATCTACGCAATTGGGACACGATGACATGCACCCACCTACCGTGACTGACCACCCGATCCCGTTAGTCGCCTCTTACGACAAGCATGGGTTGCTGAAGACCAATTCACACATTCAAATATTGGATCATACATTCTTCCTGGTTATATGAAATGTTCAATTGCCTTAAAAGTATCTTCAATGTATCAATTGAATACATTGACTGGTTGTGGTAATGCTTTAAACATCGTTCGGTTGTATCCTTGGGGCGTGGGCAATAAAAAGTTGGTTGGTTGGTAGGTTTGTTGTTTAACGC